GTGCCAGGTGTGATCCATGATGGGGGATGGGCACATAAGAGCGGGAAATGTTTCAAATTGTTCTGTGTGTGTGTGTGTTTGTGAGTGCCAGGTGTGATTCACATGGGGGGATTGGGCACATAAGGATTGTGTGGGGGTGTGTGTGTGTGTGTGTGTTTGAGAGAGAGAGTGTGTGTGTGTGTGTGTGTGTGTGTGTGTGTGTGTGTGTGTGTGTGTGTGTGTGTGTGTGTGTGTGTGTGTGTGTGTGTGTGTGTGGGTGGGTGCGGGTGTTTTTGTGTGTGTTTTATCTGATCCGGATGGTTACTAATTCCTTTTCTTTATGGCGGTCATTTGATGACCGGGAACACCATGGGTGTTACAAAGTTGACTAAATCATCCAAAATTCAATGAAAGTGGTGATCAGCAATTTTGTATGTTCAAATGTCTACTGTGAAGGATATCATAAAGCCTTAATGCAATCGAATGAAAAACAAAAAAGTTATGATTGATGAAAGTAGTAAATCAGTCAGATTGGACCCGAAGACAACAGGAGGGTTAATCAAATATGGGATATTATTGTCATTTCCATTATTCAGAACAATTTTTGTGAATTTAAATTGTTTGCGTGTCTTCTGTTCTTTTATATTTGAACTATCTGCTGTAATCCAGTGTCCCTATATAAAACAATAAAGCATCATATTACTGTATATAAAGTTTTAGATTTGCCACACTAAAAGGGACACAAAAGGACTAAAAGGACACAAAGTACAAGGAGATGTTTTTTCTTCTGTTGGGACATGGTCCGGATGGGTTTGGCATGCTTAATTAGGAAATGGAAAATTTCTCAGAAACTGGACTTGTGGGGGTGTGCGGTTCACCCTTTGTTTTGTGTGTTAGAGAACAGACAACCCCTGCAGATAGATCAGCAGGCGTCTTTTGGGGGGAGGGGAGCCCTTCTTGAGTGTTTGGTGTCACATGAGTGCTGGCATCTGGCCATTCACCCTGCCAACAAGTCATAGTGTGGCTTTTGGTGAAACTGAGCAACTTGCTGTTGTTGTGACCGGAACAGTTTGTGAACTAAAATGCCAGAGCTTGATTATATATTCACCACTTGCTTTTCCTCTGCACATGGGAGAATTTATCCTTTAGTGCGAACTGCCAGAAATTGTGTATTTTAACCCAAACCATGAACCTTTCCTAATCTTCATAAAGTTTCATTTACCTCAGGAGACTTCTGGGAGAAAGCCCTGACGTGCAGTGTACAATAGTGAATAAACCATCCTTTAAGCAAAGAAACATTTTCGTATTGCTGGATGCAAAGCGAATGTTTACTCAAGTGCAAAGAATTTCAATCTAAGTAGGCCAAGTATGGCACCACATTTTTATGCCAGGGGTTATAAGTCTTAATGCTTAAAACATTATTCCGGGTTATATACTGTATATCTGAGCAGATGCTTAACCCCAACATGCTTTTTTTTTCGCCAGACAATTCTTCCTGTTACACCGCCAATAACAATCAGTTCCGACTATCTGTGCTGTGTGAAAAAAAAAACAATGGCAGATAACTGTCTTCACTGCAGCAGCACTCAAAAGTGTGTCACTGTGTCATCTGTAATAGCGTGACCAATCACGGCGCAGGTAAGCCTCAGTGGCTGTTGGAGGATCTAGCATCAGCCCAATCACACCAGAGTGCTCAGCCAATCAGGACACCTCGAGTCAGGGCACAACATCAGTGTAAAACCCCAAACTGAGAATGTGTAAATGCAGAGTGGATGTAAACATGCAGCTGCTTCTTATCCTCTGCCCCTGTAGACAGTGCTGTGGTAGCACATGTGTTGGGCTAACGTGAGCACGTGTGAGCAGCTTCCCTTTGTGTGTAAATGCATGTGAGAGTGAATATTTTGTACATGTGTGGGAGAGGAATGTGCAAGAAAAGATTGTTCTATAAAAAAAAGATGTGATTATGATGAAATGGAAAAAAAACAGCCTATGTTTTTTCCCTATTGTTAATTCAAAACTCAAAAACATCAGATATACGCAAACTCATCCTGTTGTCTTTTGATCTTTCATAGGATTATGCATGATTCTTGCCGATAAATAAGCCATAAAACAACTTGTCCTCCACTGACATCTACTCTCTATCTCTATGTCTTGTTTTCCTATGGAGTATTTTTCACAAAAAAACATAATTTGAAGCTGTTTTGCACATTACATTATTCCCTCATCTTTACCAACACATGGCCTTTATGCAGATATCCCTTCCCTGTTGCACATTGCAGCAAGAAGATCCAGTACTGGTTTGAACTAGTATGATTTGTTACACAACGCAGCACGAGTGAAGAGCTGTACATGTACTGACAGAAAAGCCGCAACCTTTAAAAGCGTTAGATGTTCCTTGCTGCTTTTCTTGCAGCTTGGTGTGCTATTTTTACGTCAGATTGCCAAAACATCAGTCATTATTTTTAATTACATGTATAAGATTGTACAAAGTTAGAGGGCATTTTTGCACAGTCCCATAGTGTGAGTGCATGCAGACTGACTAGCATCTTAACGTTGTGTTTGGCCAGGGGGTTTATTGTGCAGCTCTATTTATTAGACCCCATTTCATTTTTCCCCGCTCCTTATATAACATGAGGTTTTTTTTCTCCCACAAGAACCAGCCTGCACATTCTGGTGGTCGTCATAGCAACAGGGCAGCATCCCTCTCCATCCTTTGTCCAGTGTCTCCCCGTCGTTTGAGCTTCCCAGGCGGAAGATGCATGCAAATTGAAGCCCCCCTGATTGAGCTTCGAAGCAAGGAAGTGAAGGGGAGCTGAAACGATGAGTGAATGTCATTATAAACTCAGCACATCCTGCTATGGCATTTAACACTCGAGTGTAAGAGCTGAACACAAAAGATCCATACAGTTTTCTGTCAGATATCTAGATGGGAAAATCTGTTGGAGGGAGAACGGGATGCCTTTGGTTATGTTTTGACTATCCACATGGTCATTGAGACACAAACAAGTATATGCACAGATGGGATGAGTGGATAGGTTGAGGAAAATAACATTATGTCCCTTTTTGCCACTGGGAAAGCAGGTAGTTTTCCTGGGAATACTGGGCTGTAAAGCAGTGTGTTTTTGGTTAGCGGGAGTTAGTGAGATTGCAGATTTGCCCTTGGTAGTCATTGATTGATTTGGAAGTGTATTCTATTTAAAGTATAAAAGCATTGCTATGATGGTGCTTGATTCAAACTCAAACAAACGTGATGAACCTGGAGGACACATAACAAAGTTTAAGGGGTGGTGAGGTTTCAGATTTTTGGCTTATGAAGCAAAACACCCAGACAAAAACAAAGTTAGAGTACATGTGTTGGCTTCAGGCCAGCCAACCTCCTCTGAAACAAGATTAAACCTCCCTTTAACTTTATGATTGGTCAACAGGTTCCCGGCAAAGCCAATCAGGAACTGAATAACGTGCAGTCGTGAGGCAGACAGGATGTAGGGGAAAGGTCTCAGAGCAAACTTTTGGTTGCCCTTCCCCCGAGTGTGAGTAGAACACCAGAAGCAAATGTTTATGTCCCGTGAAATGAGGATGCGTTCTTGTGAAGTGCGGTGGAATAGCCTCGCCTTTCTGTCAGTAGGGTAACAAAGAATCCCTTTACCAAGGTTTTATTTTTGACATTCTGACTCCATCTCCTTGACCTAAATAATGCTGATCTGGCACAAATGTCTGCAAATCTTGGTCACAGAGCTAACAGTATGTTTAGGATCTGCTAAGATGCTCTTTGTCTAGGAAATGTTTGAATAATGTTGTACCGGTAGTTACATTTTCCCTGTATTTGCACGAGTCAGAAATGTAATTTCTAATTTTACATATATTCTGTCTTGACATCCTATTTTTTTGTGAACATTGACCCCTAAATCAAGGTCCCATTCAGCTGTGAAATAACTGCTAACTTAAAATAAATGTGTTTTTGACATATCAACTTTCTTATGTGGTTTGTTTGGTTAATAACAGGATTCAGACAGGTAAAGGTTTGTTCTCCACAACAGTCAGAGGTGCTGTGTAGTTTACAACACATCACTTCTGGGAATATTGGCTTCGGGCTGTTTTTCCAGTGAATGTCTCGTGAGTACACCAGTTTACAGCTCCGGCCCACAGGCTCCCACCAGCAAGAACAAAGCTGCCGTTGAGCTCCTGCCAAGATATGAGCCTGACTGACACTTCAGAACATTTGGCAAGGAAAAGGCTCTACTTAAGTTAGGGTTAGGTGTTTTACCGAGTTATTGTTTACTGCCGGCAGGAAATTTATATCACCAGATGGTTAAACAGCTTTTTCAAGTCTGGGCATTCAACTAGAAACCAGCTACAACTGTTCCTGCGGCCAATTACACATTTGCTGTTACATTAAATTAGGGTGAGAACTACCCAGAGTTTTATAGGATATCTGCTCAATCATTATTAAATCTTGTGTTTAAAAAGCTTGGAGCTTCAGATTCCTAAGATTTGATCTCCAGTTTAGCATTAAGCTGGGAAACAGCTAGCCTGGCTCTCTCTGGAGGAATGTGTTGATCAGTAAACATAAGTGTTGTTTCCCTGTCTTTTTTTCCAAGCCAACAAGCTGCTAGCTGTAGCATTAGATTTATCACAGTGGTATTGCTCTTCTCCATTGCTTGTAAAGTGAAGTATTTGGCAAAACGTTACCTTTTAGTCAAGAGTCACAGAGCCATGTTGTGATAAAATAAAAGTTTTAAATGTTTCAATAAAAAACACCAGGTCCAGTAAACATGATGTTTTACCAAATCAGGTGCATTACAATATCTCAGTTAACAAAAGGATAAAACTCCTTGAGGAAATCTACAAATGGCATTATGGACAGATCCACCACATTTGAACAACAAACGTCTGGGTACAGAGTCTACAGACATCTACAAAGTGTACCTTACAAGTTGACCCAGTGTGTCAAAATCTGGATACATCAAAAACATTGCCATTTAAAAATAGACACTTCATAAATCAAAGAATTAGTAACATGTAAGACTGGATACTTGAGAATGCAGGTCAACATATATTAACAGTACATGAGCTAGTCAGATTCTTTTAGTTACACATGCTGTCCAGCGCTACTCTTCAGTGTCCATGTGTTTTTTAGTTCATTTTAGTCACCAAGAAACAGAAAGGGAAAGATTTGACATGGGCTAGAAAACAGTGTTACAAAAGCCAATCCCTTTAAAAGACAGGGGAAAGGCATACCTTGCCATTACCAGCGCATAACTACCAAGGATATCATTACCTTGTCATATTTTAAGTTGACCAGCCAACTTTTAGCCATTACATGAAAGTTAAATTCTCAGCGGGAGAAAAAGAAAAATACAGTACTAGTTTAAAGAAAAGATAATGTCAGGGAGGGCAGTGGAAGTGAGTCACTGAGTTATAGGTTTAGTATTCCGCAGGTTCGTCTCCCTCCTCGCTCAACAAACAGGTGCGGATCAGAGCCTCGGTCACTCCGTACGGGTCGCAGTTGGCAGATGGACGGCGGTCCTCGAAGTAGCCCTTCTTCTCCTGGCCGACCATGCGAGGAATGCGGATGCTGGCGCCACGGTTGGCCACGCCTGCGGAGAACTCGTGGATGTTGGAGGTTTCATGGTGGCCGGTGAGACGGCGGGCATTGTCGAGACCCCCTTTGGGATCATAGGCACGGATGTGATAGCTGTGCCTCTTCCCAAGCTTCTCAATGGATTCTTCAATAGCTCTGAAAGCAGAAACCACAAAAATTCCCATCAGAAATTCATTCATGTGAAAAAATGTTTAGATAAGCAGAGCTGTTAAAGTCAACTTTCATGACACTCACTTTAATCCACCTTCTTCCCTCATCTCTTTTGTGCTAAAGTTTGTATGGCAGCCAGCACCGTTCCAGTTGCCGGGGATGGGCTTGGGGTCAAATGAGGCAACAACGCCAAAGTCTTCACAGACACGGTGCAGGATGAAGCGCGCCACCCAGAGATGATCCCCCATGTTGATGCCTTCAGAAGGTCCAACCTGGAACTCCCACTGAACACACAAACACAAATAGATTATTATAAATGATGCATTATTAAGTGAATGTCATTCATAAACACATGAGCGAAGGCAAAACGTGGATTAAGCTTTTAGAATTTTTACCTGAGCAGGCATCACTTCTGCATTTGTGCCACAGATGTCGACTCCAGCATACAGACAAGCTCTGTAATGGGCTTCCACTACATCTCTGCCGTAGGCTTTGTCAGCTCCAACACCACAGTAGTAAGGACCTGTAAATGCATTCATTATTAACAAAACATCCAGACAAATTCATGTTTCTATGCACAAACTCTCCAAACTGGCTGCTTACCTTGTGGTCCAGGGAAACCATTAGATGGCCAGCCAAAAGGATGTCCGTCTGTGCCCAGAATAGTGTACTCCTGCTCCATGCCAAACCAGGGAATTTGGTCCTCCACCATCTCCATTATCTTTTTGCATGTGATACGAAGGTTGGTTTCTGCAAGAACGAAACTCGGATTAGGAGACTGACAGCGGTACAGTAAAATACAGTTTCCCGGATCAAGACCAGTTTTGCCGTTTAAATAGCAAGGCAAGTTATACAAGTAGTCCTTTGGAAGGTAGGCAACAATTACTGATTTGCTTCAGTATTTATTAAATATGATCTTGGCTGAAAAAACAATGACATCTCCAGAATATTAATGTTTAAAAAAGGTTAATAAAAGTATTCACAAAAATACAGCAAAACTTTATGTAAATTACTTTTTTTAGAGATTGCTTAGATTAGAGTGCTGATTTAATTGTGGATTTTTACTACACTAGCATCTGTTCGTCATTCTGACAAAGAAGCTGTGTATCATGTTAATGTACATAACCCATGAATAAAGATTTAAAAAAACTAAAACATTAAAATACATTTATAGTTAGTCCTCTCTCTATTTAGGGCTTCTTTTAACTATCCGTCCATTACTTTTACATTTAAAAAAAACGCCTACAGCAGTTTGTATGCACATAATAAAGGAGAGCATGCATATGCAAATTTGTGTCAAAGCATGTAAATGTGTGCACCACTGGTCACTAACGTGTGCATGCAACTGTGTGCTCCCCCTCCTAAGGGATAAAGTCAAGCATCTTTTACTATCAATTTAATTTGTAGAGGGAACCATCGTTTTAAAAAGAGTTTATATTTTCTTTACTCTGTTGCAAAATATCCCATTCATTCAAACTTTAGAGACCCTGAGTTTCACTCTTGTTACCTGCAGGTTTGCGGTTGTACTTGAGCACGTCACAGAGCACCAGCTTGTTGGGGTCTTTACGGAAAGGATCCCGGAACATGGCAGCAGGCATCAGATACATGTCGCTGTTGGAGCCCTCAGACTGGGAGGTGCTGGAGCCATCGAAGTTCCACTCAGGTAGATCTACAAGAAAAGGCACAGATGAGTTATATTATGAAGGACTTAATCATAGTATTTATTGACAGTTTATGGAAGATTGAGGGTGTTGCTTACCTTCGATGCTTTTTGGCTCAAAATCCAGAGTCCTGGTTTTGCAGCGGAGCCCCTCTCCTGTTCCATCAATCCATATGTACATGGCCTGGACTTTATCCCCCTGAGGGAGCTCCATGTACTGCTGCTTCACAGTTTTACTCAACGTCGCGCTTGAGGACGTAGCCATCTTAATTCCTTCTATAACACACCTGAGGATAAGAAGAGGAGAGCCGGTGTGAGACCTAGGTGAGCTCTGGATCACATGTTGCGTAACTGGGCGCAGAAAAACAAAAACACCACCATTGTCTCCTCTTCCAGAAAGGAGGAGGGACGAAAAACACACCGAGGATGTCAAAAGAAGCCACATTTCCAGTATTTTCCCCCCTCTCTAGTTTGGAAACAAAGAGAACTTGCCTCCGCATGTCCATGACCATTACGATTGGATTTAATGAGGAAAGCTCACAAAGGATGCCTCGTGGAAAATGTAATTACAAGGCAACACACACAAATATACATTCGGCCAAAAAAGTACATTTATTGTACATCCTGTTTCCAATAGTTATAGTAGTCATGGTTACTATAGTTGGCTGCCACGGTGAGACAGCATTACATCATAGGCTCCCTCGTTGGTATCCAGCATCATTTACACTAAAACCCTAATATACATATAAGACTTATACCATCCTAAACTAAATCAAAAGCTGAATCCACTGGAGATAATTAGATACCCATGGTTGGTAAGATCAATGTCTTAAAACTGTAACAATGAAAAGTCTGGTAGGCTACACTGAGTACACGCTGAGTTTGAGCACCACAGAGAAAGTAGAACACACAGAGGAAAGAAGTTATATTACCTGGAACAACAAGGAAATCGAAATAAAAACTAGAGGACTTAGAGGTCCAATGTCTTGTCGTGTGATATCTCGCTAGTGTCTCTCTCATTCTACGGTACCAAGTGTCGGGGATCCCTGCACATTTATAAGAACAGGAACTGGTACGTCGTCTCTTTGATTGGTTGAGGAGGCGGCAGCGTGTTTACTCCAAGGCTGACTGAAGGCACATGCAGCCCGGTCATTGGATAGGCTGCACAACGAAACGCTACGCCCTCTAGCAGGAGATCAGCCGCATGCAGCTACTGCTGCTGCTGCAAGTGCATGCTCCTCCACTACTGTGTGAGTGCATTCTTATATTTTCATGTAAGAACGATGTAGGAATTATATTTAAAGTATGAACTATGCTGCGATGGAAAACGTGCTTCACTATTGGAGACCAAATCAACCGTGTGGAACAACGTAAAAACAACCTCAGTATAAAACATTCAGATAGTTCACGGTGCAAGACGCCACCCTGTGGGGGGAGCCAGGTACTGCATGGGAGAACTGGTTTAAATGGGAAAGGTTATGTAATCCCACTAAAAAATATCGTCCGGTACACTCCAGTTTTGTCTTGAATGCACACGTGACCAAATCATGCGTAAATGGGAATAATCCTTTATATATACAGTCAATGGAATAATCCTTCAAATAATCTGTAACAATGCAAAATGGGTTGACTTCTCCTCCTCTGGTTGAAATGAGTGTGATGCTTAACTTGGGTCTCTCTCATGTTCCCAAGGTAGGCTACTCATGCAGTTTGGTTGCAAAATAATGAATGAAAGATTAAGAAGTATTTTCTATAGTTTGAAAGGCCTTCTTAATGCGTCGCACTGAGAGGAAATTGGTGAGGAAAACAAATCCGCTCCACTGTAAATTAATGTCATTGTTTGTAGCTCAAATGACTATGTTCCTGATGATAAACATCACAATCAACACATTTTTAAAGCGTTTTAAGGTCTTGAGCAATGTTTCCAGTGTGTAGACGTTCAGCCTGTACATTACCTTTAGGATGTAGAAAAACTCAAAAAGCCTTGTGAGGCAGACGGCGGCAACAACTATCTAACGTCACTCTGCTAATGCTAGGCTAGTAGCATAAACTTTGAGCAAGGATCATTTATACATAAAATTGTGTTACATTTAGTCATAGTTGGTTTTAGCTACTGCTTCAATAAGGTACATTTAAACGAAATTCCGTGGTGTAAAGTAACAAAGTAGATTTACTTAAGTAAGATTTTGAAGGACTTGTAGGCCTACTTTACTTGAGTATTTACATTTTTGCAATTTGGTTCATCTACCCCACTACAATTCAGAGGTAAATAGTGTACTTTTACTTCACTACATTTGTTCAATAGCCTACCTTTAGTTATATCGCAGATTTGGATTGATGTTGTGAAAAATCTTACACTTAAAAAATACTTTAGTTACACTTGGAAGCTGTAGTAAATTCACAAGCTACCCTGCAGCATAGTATTCAGACATGCTGCACCTTTACCAGCTTTGATAACACTAATGCGTCAATCATATTCATCAAAACATATTATATAGGTATATGAGGAATATGAGGTAGTCATTTTCCACAATTTGTCTGACATTTCAAAGGCTAATATTTAATCAATAATGAAATAATAGTTAGTTT